AAAAAAAAAAAAAGAAAAGGCTATTTCACAATTACGTGGCCACTAAGTCTAAATTGCTGACACGTTCCTTTGGCACGTCTGGAACCCCCAACAACAAAAGCCAGAATTTTTAAATTTAGCTTTTTGTTTAGCAATGTCCTTGAAATATGTACCAGATAACAAATAAGAGTTCTAAATTTTGTCCTGACTTACAAAATCTCTGCAGGGGGTATGTGAGTCAGAGAAATGTTTGCTGTACTGATACTATGACAAAGCTCTCTCAGCAGCTTGTTTCAACAGCCTAGCATGCGTATGTCAACCCTGTAGAACTCTAACAAATATACTACAGATTCTGAAATAGAACAAGCAGTTTGTGTCTCATCTGTTATTAGAATCTTATTATCAAATTATTTTTAAAAGAGGAAGAATTATAGATTAATCATAGCTAAATATCGATATATAGAATTATAATTAATAGACCAAATCAAGCAAACGGACATAAACTGCACCTTAGTCACACTGGCAGCTCAGCTGGCATATCCTGATGATAGCTCTGTCACAGAGTCATAAAGTATTCCTATCTCTGTATGTTCCAGCATCCTCAGTGATAAGTGCTCATTTAAGTTTCTCCATGGGACAAACAGAAAGCACATTTGATGTTGAACTTGGAAATGATATTTTTATTAATAAGAAATATTCCAGGATGCTCTGACAACTTCTGTTAACTGAACAGTGCATGTGTGTACTTTTTTAAATTTCTCATTCTAGTTTCTTCAGAAAAGCCATTTAACAGCCCAGTGCCACCACCAGCTGGATCCTTTACAAGCTTCCCCATAAACTGTTAATTGCATGCAGCTCATTTTTGTGTTAAACTTTTCCCCTCTCCAGCTCCAGACACAACCCTGGGATGCAGCAAGTGCAAGAGCACTGCTGTGACTGACACTGCTGTCTTATTGCCCTCTACAGCAGCTGCACAACTCAGAGGAAACCACAGTTTGCTCTGCTGAGAAGGAGAATGCAAACAAATGAACACAATGCTGATTAAATGGGCACATAAATCTCTCTGGCTGGTCTGGGTATAGCTGATAATTTGTTGAAATCTCCCCACTACAGTCCCCATCCAGAAGGCAGTATTGCTTCAGCTTGTAATAAACCAGTTGTTCTCCAAGCAGGAAACCACTGTGTGATCCAGGAACCTGATGTCAGCTGCTGTGCCAGGAAAGGGCTGGCACACAGAGGTGAGGACAACGGGCAAGTTCATTATTTGGGTAGAATTAGAGAAGCCACATAAAGCTCTTACCAGTAAAGAGATAACAGATTCAAGTACTGAGGACACATGCCAGAAACATTTCCTGCAGGGCATTTTCAAAAACATTCCCAGGATGATCAAGGGAACAAATGTTCACGTTGGCACTGATGTGTCCCTTGCGTGTGCAAAGAGCGACTGGATTATGCACAAACCTTCCCCTTTTGGATTTCCAATTCCTAGTGAGAGTGTTCAAATTGTGTTCTGTGCTTGCAATGTTGTGAGATGAACCTAAGCCAAGGGTTGGCCTGGGCCTACTGAAGTTCATGGGGTTTCGAATCTGGGAAATTGGCTCAAATCCACTTCCTCACAATAGCACCAGCCTGTCAGAAAACTTTCCTCTGTGTTTATGCACTGCATGCTAAGGCTTATAGCTTGGTAATCAAACAGTCTGTTCTTTTTACTTTTTTCAGGTTTAGTGTTTTTTTTTTTTTTTTTTTTTTTTTTCAAAACTCCATAAACTTCAACACCTAATTCTTTTTTTTTTTTTTTTTTATCCAAAACTCCATAAACTTCAACACCTAATTCTACCACAAATGCTTTTTTGTGCTGTATCCCCAGTTCCTAAGAATGCTGCAGTCTGTTGTTACATAAGCACATTCTTCTCCAAAGATTTCAGTGCAAGTTGAAATGGTTTGGTCTAAAACAATCATACAGTGCCCACATCCAGTGCAGCATGGAAAAATCCAGCTCAGAGATCTTAGAAATTTGGTTTGGCCTCATGTGCACAGAAATACTGCTGGCAAAGCACATGATACAATTTTCCATTTCCCTTTAATTCATTAGTAGATGGACGCCTGTCTTGCACAGAATCATGGACCTGATAGAGAAACAGTCTGAACTAATGTATCTCACGTTGACCTCAATACCTTCAGCAATGCAGCAAGTTTCACCTTTTAGATGATAATGTCTTGTCTTACAAAGAGGAAATTAGATATTTCATAATTATTCTCAGCCACTGATTGTCCACATATTTCTTTCCAGGCAAAATAAAATAAAAGGATAAACTAAGTTTGGTTTGGACAAGATAACAAAAGATGACTTTGTGTTCATCAAAAATACTCCACAGGCTGCTCAAGGAAGACAAACAGAACACAGGAATACTGCACCCAAAAATCCTTATAAAAACGAAAACCATCTTTATCTTGCTAAAAAACCAGAAAAAGCAAGACCAGGATGGAGGGAAACAAGAGGAAATGATTAAAAATAAAAACAAAGTGATGGTCAAGGTACTGTTGCTGCTGAACACAGCTCCAAATGTAGGCTCAACCTCAAACTGAAGGGTCAGAGAACAAAGGATTTTCGTTGTGATGTTCTGTGTTAGTACATTAAGTCCTAAGAAATTAGCAGAAAAGATCAGCTTAAAAATCTTTGACTGCTCTATCTTTTGTAGAGAATCAAGATCCAGGTCACTGTTTGAGATAAACAGTCAAGTTCAAGAAGACAAGGTGAAGCTCTTCTTGAAACTGGCATTTATCAGTTTACACATGTGCACTGACTACAGCTGAGCATTCAGCTTTACACAACCGAGGTGCTCCACTGACAGAGCTCTTCTTCAAAACAACAGATGCATTACAAATGCATAAACAAAATGCCTCCAATAAGACTAAATAGCCTAAATTCGATCAATT